GGTGACGAGCTCCCTGGTGGTGGCCTACTTTGATGAGTTGCTGGGTGCGCTGCCTTGGTGGCGAGTCTCCTAGTGTAGTGCAACCCAACTGCCCTCTGCATGAGATCATCTGCTACTCTTTGCGGACGACGGGAACTGAAGGTCCCATCCTCCCTGCGAGAGATGATCTGCTCATCTTTGTAAACGATAGGAACTGAGGGACCTACGAGAACTGAATTAGAGGACCCGGGGTTGTTTACCCGGGGGGACCACTCCGATGGCTAAGTTAGCACTCTGATAGTAGAGAGCTTGAAGATGATATTAGAGAAATGAGAGAGCTAGAGAGCAGGGGTTACCTCCATTTTTTTATCCTCCTCCCCTCTTGAGGGGTTGGAGCTCTTATATAGCGGTGTTCTGACAGATCTGGTGTAACTGCTTCTGATTCTCTGCCGCAGCCGTTACTTGCCAGGGCTGAGCTGTTGGGCGCAGGTAACCATTGCAGGGTACGACCCTGCCAGACAGGGGATGCTTGTCAGGGACTGGCAGGCACGATGCCGCCTGGCCGTCGGGGGAGCAGTCTCCAAATCTGGCAAGTACGGTTGTCAGGTAGGAAATCTTCCTATGATATGTCGAGCTGCTCTGCAACGAGCTATCTCGCGCCGAGTTACTTTTCACTGAGCTGCCGGTAATGTGCCGAGGTGCTTCTACCCGAGGCAGGCCTTTGTGGCCTAATATGAAGCGAGCTGCTTGTAAGTGGCTAGCTTCTTGTAAGTGTCGAGCTACCTGTGGCGAGCTACCTATGTCGAACTGTCTGTAAATGCTGAATTGCCCCTAAGTGGGGAGCTACCTATGCCGAGCTGCCTGTAAGTGCCGAGTTGCCCCTAAGTGGCGAGCTACCTATGTCAAGCTGCCTATAAGTGCCAAGCTGCCCCTAAGTGGCGAGCTGCCTGAAGGTGGCGAACTACTTATAGCTAGCTCGAGCTGTCTAGTTATCAAGAGGCTGCACTTAGTTGGCATGAGGTGTCAGGTGTCATAATTTCACTGGAGGGCCAAATCCGCCCTCATCATAAACGGAAGTGGAAAAAGTGGGAGTGACACCACCAAAATCAATATCAACAATAGAAACAAAAAGAAAAAGAAACGACGGAGAGGAAAGATGACATACCAGCGGCAAAGAAAGCATGGAGGAGCACTTCGATGGAGGAGACCTCCCTTTGCAGCGGAGCACAGTGGCAGAGCGCTTCAATGGTGGAAAGGTTAACGGTAAAATGTAGGGTTTCGATTGTGAATGTGAAACACATTGCCAATATGTTTGGGAGTGGATAGTGTTGGCTGGTCCCATCCATGCCCAACTAAATTGCATGTTCATCCCATGGCATAGACACACTACCGAATGCCACCTAAGAATCTATCGAGGGAAGATTATATTAACTGTTTTACGAATTGATTGATATATGTATTTTCTTTTTTTTCTGATTTTTTTAAGGGCTATACAGTGGGGGGTAGCCCATCCCCTGACCCAGGTGCATACGGGACTCAATGCCAAGTCTCTGCTATAACCAGCAGGAAACCTTACTAACTAACTGGTTGGCACCTTCTAATTTCTTAATACTTGTAATCTGGGTTGAGAGTGTAAGGATGTGTGCTCTTATAACGAGAGCACCATCGACCTTGCAATAAATTTTTGGGTAAAAAAAAAGATCAACAATCATATGGATCACATATTCTATTTTGAGGACGGCCACTTCATATATAAAAATGCAACAACTCAGTATATCCCTCATAGGACTCACCAGGTCGGATCAAGATTGGTTAATGGCCTTTTTTTAGTTATCAAGCTTCTTTTTTAGAGATCAGCTGTCTAAGATATGGTTTTTAAAACCGACCCAGAGACCAAATTGGTCAGGGTTTGGTTATCGGGTCAAATGGTTCGACCGTTTGAACCAAATGTTCGGACCGTTTTGACAAAAATTAAAAATAAATAAAAAATAAAAGATGGTCAAAACTGTTTGAACGGCTAATTGTCCGGTTCAATGGTTTACTGACCAAAATCAACGGTTTTAGAGGAAAATTTGGTTTTTGGGGAAAACGAAACCGGTCACCTGATCTGTTTCTGGTTTTTTCGGTCCGAGTGTCTGGTCCGATCTGGTTTTGAAAACCATGGTCTAAGAGAATATGTAGATATTAAATTTGGTTTAAATTTTATTGGGAATATTGTTCCTAGGGCTTTTTACAAGATAAATGATAGGTTTATCAAATTCACAAATTGCATTTCGTTAATGGGAGGAACATCAACAAAATTTGAACCAAAATATCTCTATATAAAAAAACGTCCAAAATTTAACAAATCCCTCAAAGGTTAGGATCGTATCCACTCTACCCCTCCGGAAACCCCAGATAGCTAGCTGGGACCAACATTAGATGATGGCTTTTATATAATCATATCTAGTTTACATTCAGTTTCATCCAATATATTAAACACAGATTATTTTTTAGAGATTTACAAGCATCTATTAGAAAAAAAAAATGATAATATCATCTCTAACAATTTTTAAAAGTAGGGGGTGTTCATGGTTAGTTTTGTTTTTGAAGACAAAAACGACTAATGCATCAGAAAAATTACATTATTTACTCCTCTAGTAGGAACAATATAATAAACATGTTAAATTAAATGAGCACTTGATAAATATTTTGACAACTGTCAAAAGTGGTTTTTAATCTTTTTTTAAGGGTAAATAAGTGGTATTTTAAGGAACAGGTGTCAAAAATTTTTCCAAGTGTTTATTGAACATGTTACAACGTTGTGCCTACCTAATCCAAACTGGTTTTTCTGACATGGCATTTGTTTTTGTTTTCAAAAACAAAACTAACCATGCTGTGGTTCATATTTGTTTCAAATGCCAAATTATATCTTAGAAACTATATATAAGTCTAGAAGATCCGATTATTGTAAACATTGTTCGATATTTCAATGACTACAGCTGGAAAAGAAAAACAACCAAATGATTCCTTACAATTTGGAAAGATCCAATTAGAGTAAAACATTATCAAGTGGGTAGATCGTTTTTATAAACTTAAGAATTGTTGCTTGCACCGAATGGTTGCTTACAACTCCAGTAAATCCCCCATTAAAGTAAAAACCATTTGATATATACTATCTACATGTTTGGATTATTTATGAATAAGTTTAAACCAAAATATAGATCAAATAATTCTTTAGAATTCTAAAATCCCCCCCCCCCTATAGCTTTCAAACAGGGCCGAGATAATTATATTATACCTTGGGGTTTCTCTCTCTCAGTGATGAACATGGGCTGGGCCACACTTTGCACCTATGATAAGGATTATAGCCTAGGTCCAGCCTTACATCTTTTGAACTGCCCATTTTTTATAAGTGGGTGGAGATGATAAAACTGTGTAACGATGGACCCAAGTTTCAAAATATCGATATGTATCGGCTCATATTGGCCAATACATATCATATTGGGAGCTTTCCAATATACCCCTATAGAGGGTATATCGGAGTTTTCACCGGTTCAGGGGGTGGACGGACCTTAAACCGAATCCCCTAAACCGAATTAAAAAAAAAAACTACTATATTGGGCATATCAATATTTTAAACCTTGGATGGACCCAATAATTTTGAACTACGTTTTAGGTGTTCATGGAAATAGTGTACTTAATAAACTCTTGTTAGACCAGTCCGGATCTCTAACAATCAAAAGGATTTTGTTCTAACCAATGAGGATTGATCAAAGTTCAGATGATGATGGGTTTCCATTACTAAAATTATTACACTGACCAACCCATTAGAATTCATCCAAATTCATGATGTCGTTTTGATTGATAAAATTAAAGCCTTTTTACAGTCCACTCCATTCAGAATTCAAAAATTATTAATTCCCCAAATGTGGATATTTATTCCAAGCTCCCTCCATAAATAGCATCCTCTCCGTGAATTAGGAAGATCTTTATTTAAAAAATAAAAATAAAAATAAGACATCAAATTCAAGAAAATTAAGAGTTCCAAACATGGTTTTTAAAACTGAATCGGTCAAAGGTCCGGTTACCAGTTCTAACGGTCTGATCGTTCGACCTGAACGATCGGCCCGTTCTGACAAGAAAAATAAAAAAATTAAAATTTTAAAAAACGATCAAAATCGTTCAAACAGTTTGAATGATTAACCGGCCAATTCAGTGATTTGCTAACCAAAATCAATGATTTTGGAGAAAAAAACAGAGGAAAATGGAGATGACCGATTCCCGGTTTTTCCGGCTGACCATCTGGTCCGGTCTGGTTTTAAAAAACCATGGTTCCAAATAAACATGGGCAGCCAATTAACATTAACAAATTAAGAATAGAATAGAATTATCCTTTCAACGTAACAAAGGGTATTAACTCTATTCCATGCACATTTTGCGGATCTCATTCTCATCTTTGATTATTTTAGAGTCTTTGTATCAGAAGATTGAGAGAGAGAGAGAAAGGATATTTAATTATTTATACGTTGACATATTTGGCCTATGGCGACAAGCACGTGGTGGACCACTAAATGGGGAAAAGATGAAATATTTCAAGAGCACATTATCTTTTTGAATTAGTAACATCTCCCGTGCATAATATTATGTAAGAAGTATATAACTGTGTGGGTAGATGTGGGCAGTAAATCGAAACTCAAAAGATGAGAGTTTGTAGCTTTCTCCAACCCCACGCCCACGCGCCTGTTTGAATCTTCAAAAGTCTTTGCATTATCTGCTGGCTGGGCATGGCGGCCGACGACTCCACTCTTCCCCTTCCCCGTCGGTGAAGGCGAGGGCGGAGGTAGCTAGGTTAGGTACACCATTTCATGGGGGATGAGTGGACGACGACTTCACAAATCACAACCTCTAGTCAACGATTTTGACTGAATCCGCGTTCTAAATATCTCTAAGACCCAAATACACGCGGCATCAAACCAGCCATTGATATTCACCAACGTCTTGGAAGCTTCAGACTCCTCTATAAGAACTCAAGCCTGAAGCCTGTTTCACCACCTCAAACAAAGTTGAATTCCTTGTGTAGTTCACACTTCACAGAGAGAAAAGAGTCAGGGACGACCTGGTGAACACAAGAGTCTGAGATCGATGGCTTGTCGCATGGGTTTCATCGGCTGCATGTGCATGGTGGTTGTAGCAGCCCTGCTTCAGGGTGCAACCGCAGCAACATACATCGTCGGTGATGACAAAGGGTGGAAAGTTCCCGACTCCACTGATTTCTACACCACATGGACTACGAACAAGACCTTCCAGGCCGGTGACATACTGGGTAAGGATTCTTCTTCAAAATCCCAACTCCCCCACTTCCATTTTTTCTTCAATTAAGCTCTTTAGTCATGGCTTTCAAAGAAACGAGCTTCACTGGACACAGAATATATATACAGAGCTTATCTGTTTTTTTTTTCTAATTTATTCATTTTTCCTGTTGTCCAGAGTTCGACTTCACCACCAACGAACACGATGTGGCTCGAGTAACAAAGGCTAATTATGATTCCTGCACCAAGACACCCATCGGTTCCATAAATCAAACTGGCCCGGCAAACATCACCCTTGGAAATGAACCCAACTACTACTACATCTGCACCATTGGCAGCCACTGTCAAAATGGGCAGAAGCTGGCAATCACCGTTAGTGGCTCTTCAACCAGCACCAATAATACTTCCACCCCGACCGCCTCCCCCACCCCCANCCACCACCTCCACTCCGCCTCCACCGCCAAGCTCTGCCTCCTCTCTTGCCGTTGGCGGCTTCTCTGCTGTGTTGTTCTCCCTCGCAATCGCATTCTTACACTAAGCAGATTTTCTGCCTTATGTTTGTTACTCGATATATGTTGAATTGTTATTTCATGTTTTCAATAAATAGAAATAGTTGGGTTCTCATTAATTTCTTTTTTCCTAATATAAAATATGCATTAACTTAATCCTGGACCAATTCGCCAATTTTGGGATTTTCATTTTCCACGTCCAAATCACGACTCACGAGGATACTAACTTTATTCAACAAACAAATTGAACACGAGGGGATAAATAAATTTGATTTGAATTATTTTATTATCGTATTCTATGCCAAAATGGACAAATTAAACTTAGACCAGCAATAAGGACACCATCCATTGTACGAAACTCTCTCTCCCCCCTTGTGGAGTTGTGGGGGCCAAATCCAGTGATACCTTCTCGACGACAGAGGAACAAAGGCAGAGTATTTTAGATGAGCCTCTGTTTTTGTTGACTCGATTATATATGATAGATATAATAGGTGGGCAGCATGAATTGTAACCATTCAGTAGCTTCTCCCTGGAATTAATCAAACCAAGCCATCCGGCTAACTTCAAAGAACCAACCAACCACATTTTTTTATACTGGAGGAGCTTAAGCATAAGCATCAGACTGGTTGAGTACAGTACAGGACTCAATAAAACATCTATAATGCCATCTTCTCAACAACACTGTTGCAATATATGGCGTTCTCAACCCCTCAGACCCTTATTACCAACCACTATTTGATCCCCACACAGACACAGTTAATGGTTGGCTTAGGGAATGACATAACATAGCTAAATCCGCTCCCCCAATTCAATGTTTAGCCATGTTTGGAAAGCCAGAGCAATAAAACAGTTTTAAGTAAAGAAAACCCAGAACTGAGATCTGATGTAAATCAGCACCCTAACATAAACCATCAAGAGGACCTCCCCTGTTCTTTCTCTAGATATCTTCGAATCATGTACTGTAGCCTGGCCGCCACAGAGAGCAAAATGGAAGAACAAACAGCAAGTCCACAAATAAGAAAGCCACAATGGAGACCAAAATTGCAGATTTATCCACAAATTTGGTTGTGGGAAATCCTACCAATGACAACAAAGATCAAGTACATTGCGTTATCTTGCCAAGGAGCAAAGGAATCTAATATCAGTGATGTAAGATGGATCGTCCTTGACACTATAGGTCCACTTTGTCTCTCCTCTTAATAATTAAGCATTGCAGCGACAGATTTTGACGTGCAAAGATTTCTACCACACCAACTCTGAATTGGGTAGACCAATACCCATGGATAAACAAATAATCAGTCATTCCCATCCACTTAGAATTCTTAAGGAGCGTTAGTGTCAGTCTTTTTCCCAAGGGAATATGTTTCAAAAAATGGATCTAAGCTTCATGTTCAAACATCCAAACGTTACTTTGGAATGAAGCATGTTTAGAGGCAAGCTGCTTACACAAACAGTAGTTAGTTTTTTCAAGGCCTGGTAGTTTTTTAATCAAACTCAGAATCTCTATTTACACTTTTTCATTGTGGAGACAGTGCAGCTTGCTGCTCAAGTCACCAATTCATCATCAAGCATGACAAAACAACAATTGAACATACAAAATCGTTGCACAAAAGGCTGCTTAGAAATAGGGTCCTGGATCAACCTCAAGATTTCAAAATGTATGTACTACAAAACAAATTCCCTAGCTACAGACCTGGCTTCTTCATTCTCGCAAAAAATTGGTCGGATGGAAGCTTTGGTTGCCAGCAAAATTGCCCATCCTCAGCAGAGCTACTACCCGTGGTCTTAAGCTTCTTAAAGGGTGCATCTAGATACAGACCTCCTTCACCCTCAGAACTCCATTTACTAGAAGAGGATTCCAAAGGATCATCAGCATTGTCCCTGGGGAAGAAGCAAAACTCCTTTTCGTTTTGTGGGGACGAATCGCTAAACTTGCTCCCCTCTTGAGAACTACTCGAACCAACGTCTTCAACCTCATGAACCCAGCGGTTCTCTGCGGCAATGCCATCAGTTGATAGCGGACCCAAACGCAAGGATAAGTCGCACTCAGGCTCAGGAGGCCTCTCAGGAACGTTCTGTGGGTCTGCTTGAACTGTTGTGGTTGGAGTTTTAACAGGCACACCACAGGGGAAGAAATTCTCCAAGACACCCCTCTCAGCAGGCTCCCGAGCGGAAGTGGACGGAACACAAGGTGGACCGACAACCGTATTGCGGTTTGAAACTTGGGGGGTTTGGAAGCTCAACTGGGGCTCCTTAGTTTGAATGACTGTGCCATAATACAATGGATAAACGCAACCCAAGTTCGATTGGGGGTAAGTTTCTGCTCTGAAGGATTGGTTACCGCCAGACGGACGGAAACTGCCGGCGGGAAAACGGAACTCACGAGATGTTGATGTGGCGGGATTGTTGTCTCGGGTGACAGGAGTGCTGCATTCCGAGCCTAAACGAGGGGAGTGCATAGTTGTCGGTCTTGTGAAGGTCGAAGTCGAATAATACGGAAAGAACCGCGGGGAGGTTGTTCGATCTCCGGACCGGAGTGGCAGTAAATGAGGGGGACCTCTATGGGTTGTGCTGTCGGGAACTCTCGGAGGGACAGAGGTGGGTTCTTGCGCGCTGGGGTTCAGGTAACACCTCGGGTTACTGTGACGCTGGCTCCGCGATGCTCTTCTTGGAATGCATCCTAGATGAAGCGCGGCTGAACAAAAATAGGGGGAAAGCAAAACAGAAACGAATTACACAATGTATCTCCTTTTCAAACTGGCAAAAAATGACAACAACCCAACTGCGCAATTGTGGGTTGGATCGGACAAGAAGAAGAAGGCGTAAAGGAAAAAAGAGGTGCACCTTCAATACAAGGCTGAAGAAGGTTTCCTTCTCCTGTTTCAGTGCTCTCATCCCTGCGAATAATCGTGTTAATGGCATCGTTCAACCGCTCCCAAAGCGTCTTGAGATCCATGTACTCCGCCTAAGTAAAGAAAAACCTATAAGACGAGAAAAAGAAAACTAGAGAATCGAAAAACCGTAAGCGAAACCCAGCCAAGGTTAAGTGAAGTAAATGTAAGAACCTCAGAATTCGCTTTGGAGTACATGATTTCCTCTGCTCTCAAGACAACAATAGGGAGTTTCTCCTGCCATTCCTTGTTCTTCTTAGTTGCAGCGTTATGGATCTCATTGACGACCCTAATCAAACATATGGCAGAACATAAGAAAACAACAACAACAAGGATAAGGGGGTTTTCAATTTTTGAGGTGCGGTGGGGGAGACGGGACAGGAAACAAACCTGAAAATCTCTTGAATGAGAGATCCTCTCATGGGTTGGTGCCTATCGCTGTGCCAGGCTCTCCTCACACATTCATACGGCCTAGGGCCTGGCCTTGGCATCGTCGCTAACAACTGAAATCCAATTGCAGGAAAGAGGTAATACGAGACTAATTCCGTTGCGTGGCGGAAAACAAATTCCAAACAGAGGACTTGTTCAGTTCTTGTTGCTTCTGCTCTTGCCGGGTTTCCCCTCTGCAATCCCCACTTGCGAGAGCACCCTTTATTCTGAGCAACCCAGAATACCAGACTTGAAACAGCAAGAGCGAGGGACAGAGAAGGATTGGGTGGGGAGGGGTGAGAGGGGTTATGCTGCCGAGTCTTTGCTTTTCCCTTCTCTCCTTTATTTTTTTTTTCCTGTCCTTCGCTCAATAATTTAACGGGCTTACCAATGCGGGTGGGTGGTGTCCCCCACACATCCACATGCCTGCCCCCCAACGGGTATTACATCTTTCCCTTCTCCCCCCCCCTCCTCCTTTCTCTCATTCTCTCTCCCTCTCTCCCTCAGTCCCTCTCCCTCTCTAAAAATCTGGTCTCCAGAGACCAAAACCATTAATAAATTTGGAGAGGGAAGGGGGGGGTTGGGGCTTTTTTGATCGGGGTTTGATCACATTGTCACTGTCGGTAGCGCCTAACCAACCCCAACCTCAATTGTTTCCTGTGGAGATATCATGATTTTAATCTCTCATCAGTCTGCAAAAGGTGTCACCGTGCACTCAGAGGCTTGCAGTCAAGAGCTCAGCCATTGGATTCTAATCCCTTCAAACAAACCACAGTTCACAGTAGTACTGGATAAGCATGGATGGAATGGGGTCATGGGGATGGACGCCCTACCAAACCCCAGTGGCCTTTGTTTTCTTTTAAAGGGTCTCAGGCTCAGGGAATTCCATTCCATATTTCAACACATGGGCTCGCTCTCCTCTCCACACAGTCGAGCTCTTTTGCCACCCTTTTTATCCTACTTCCATCTTAATATTCAACGTCAGTGTTCCCTTGGAATCTTTTAACAGTTCAGTACTCCTATTGCACAAATGTTTTTGAGAGCTGTCAAGCTTTTTTGCAACATTCTCCCTTGAATCCAACAGCTTCATATTCAATGGCACAAACTGGTTTGAGAGTTGGTCAAGCATTTTTTTTTTCTGTTGCCAAAAGCTTAGGTCACACAAATGTCTTCCATCTCATGGTTTGCCAAGTGTCTCATTTGTTGGGTTCTACACCAGCCAAATGCTGGGAACCCAATGGATTAATTTGACCAAATTCCACCTTATTGAAACTTGGTTTTTAACTGTGAACAAAAGAATCTGTTTTTACTGTGCACATGTTTGAACCATAATGCAAAAGCTTTGGAGCTGTTGGGGGGGAGAAAGAATGGCTGAAATAAAAGCTCCAGTTCATGGTTGATTGTGATGAATTGATATTTTCACAAGCACTGGAAAGCCTAAAGTGGGACAGATTCAATGGTGTTGGTGGGTCCTAGAAAATGACACCTGACAAAGTTGTGGAACCCCAAAGCTGAAACTTTACGTCACGTCCTGTAGCCCAAGACACAAGACAACCTCTCCAGACTAGTGTTTCATTGTCCTTTCTCTTATCTTTTCTTCTAAAATTTGCTTAAGCATGCAAAATTCCCTTGTTTTTTTTTATTTTTTTACTTAAATGCCTCACAAATTATCTTAATTGCAGTCTTGGTGGGCTTGCACCATGCATCTCCAAGTCCGACATTGAAATGTGGGACCCACTTGAGATTACACAGTGTTGCAGCAGTTATAACATTAAAAAGGCGTCCGTCCAAGTGGGGGAAGGAAAAGCTTGCATATTCACCATTCTTCTCGGTTTTCATTTTGGGGTAAATTATAGATGTGCTTGAGCCTTGAAGGCTGCAGAAACAGAGAATCTTACACCTGAATAACCCAAGCCTTTGCTACCTAACCCAAACTCCTCCAGGCTCCAACAGTCTGAGCCTTCTGATTATACTTCACACCAGGGAACAGATATTGGTCAAATCATCATTAGAATAGAAATTTTAAATAATAAATGTCATTTGTGCTCCCATTATCTCTTATCTTTTTAATATTTTTTAGGTTTTATAGGCAACAGTGTATCTAATCTATGACATGAAAGACTATGGGGTCATCTAAATTACTTTTCTGGGTAATTTGTAATTTGCCCATAAAAAATATACAGGAAAAGGCATACCCAACTTTTGTTCTCTAGGTGTGAAAGGAAACCTGCTTCATAATTATATTGATTGAGCCATGAGGAGGGGATCTCTCATGAATGGCAAACTGAAATTAGTATATAATGTACTTTGCCCATAAAAAATTGAAATCATAAATTATATCTAAGAACAATGAACCAAGAAAAATTAAAAATACAAAGATTTGATTATTTAAATCTAATGTTAACTTACTATAGAATGTTACTTGATGTAATCGTTTTTGGTCACGTATCATTTTTTTTTGTGATGTATAAATTTTTTTGGCTAAATACATCGTTATTTGACCCGATGGTGACGTTTCTTGGTGATGAGCTACTTGGTAGCGAACTCCCTGGTGGAGAACTGCTTGGTGGTGACCTCCCTGGTGGTGAACTGCCTGGTGGCGAGCTCCCTGGTGGCGAATTGCCTGGTGGTGAGCTGTCTGGTGGCGAACTGCCTGGTGGCGAGCTTCCTGGTGGCGAATTGCCTGGTGGCGAACTCCCTGGTGGCGAACTGCCTAGTGGCGATCTCCCTGGTGGCGAACTGTTTGGTGGTGAGCTCCCTGGTGGCGAACTGCCTGGTGGTGAGCTCCCTGGTGGCGAACTGCCTGGTGGCGAGCTCCCTGGTTCAGCGCAACCCGACTACCCTCTATATGAGGTGATTTCCTCTCCTTTGTAGGCGACAGGAGCCGAGGGACCTGCGAGAACTGAATCAGAGGACCCGGGGGTATTTTCCCGGCGGGGACTCTCCGATGCCTAAGTTAGCATTCTGATTATAGAGAGCTTGG